TATAATGAATATGTTATATGGTGCATATATTTAGCAAAATGCTCCTCTCTACGGTTCATTTTCATATCTGACTAATGAGTTTATGGTCACCGAATGTTTTTCTGAGGTAAATGTGACGTTACGTGACATTGTTTACAAGCAGTTATATTGACGTCTTTGCGCGGCTGAAACACTGATTGAGAGATTACATGACAAGATACAGATTGTAAAGTTGTACTCTTTCTTTTAACTTACCTTCGGATGTTTAGTCATGTTTATTTTGTGCCGAAGCTGGTATTAATGTGGAGGAGATTATCAGATCACGTGCGCCTCACGCTGCTGCGTCTGTTGAACTGAGGCGCTACAGCGATCTGTCACTCCACATTAAACAGTGCCAAAACAGCATTTATTGTTTGAATACTGCAATACAATGGGCAGAATTTGAAATCTGAGACTTTGTTTCATTTTAAAAGTACCAAAGCACAATGCTTATTGTGATTTATTGGATGGGAGGTGCCCTTCAACGTTACATCCATTAACTGAAAACAGGCTAGATTAATCGTTTCTTGGGATTTAAGAATCGATATAGTTCCATAAAAATGATAATCGATTAATATCGAGATAGATATTTTTTTCCCAGCCCTAATCATGAGATTGTCACAAAAGAATATTGAGAAAGGAAATATTTTTTTAATAATATTTTAATTATTTTAGCCTTTAGTAGTCACAAGAGCTTTAAAAGAAATTAATATATTTAAAACAAACATTTTAATATTTAAAACACTTAAAATAAACATTTGTAAATTATATATATACACACACACATACATACATGCATGCATATATATATATATATATATATATATATATATAGTTTCTAATTATAATTCTATTTAAAATTAAATATATAAATTAAATATATATTCACTTAATCTAATATACAAAAAGTTGTCTATAATATCATGCTTATATATATATATATATACACACACACACACATACATACATACTGGCCATGGGACGATAACCGGTTTCAAGGTATACCGCGGTTTGGAAAAGTCACGGTTTCAAAACCACTAAAATTTTACAGAATCTGCAAACATATCCTTGCACATGACAGCAAAAAACGCACGCAATAGGCTAAAGCATGCCGCAAAGCCCCAGCAAAAGTAATTACCTTGAATGTGACGGGGGGGGGAAATTAGATATTTGAATTATTTATTAATAAATTAGTGTTTTCTGAGTCCGTGTCGCAAAGATGAAGACGACGATCCTGATCCTGAGAAATGCATCTTTACGGATTGTATAAAATCCGTAAAAAGAGTTTTAGTTTTTGATTCAAATTATTTAGTTTTAAAGTAGTAATTTAAAACTTTCTATAGATATATTTAGCAAGTTTTATATATTTAGCAAGTATTCGCTGAGTTTCGGTTCATCATTATGAAGCGCTCCTGGCCGAAATTGCAGAAAGCACATTCTGTATGTATCCTTTATTTTATAAAAGCACAACGCTTTGTTGATATTGTGAGTGCACACAAATAAAAAGTAGACCCTTTACAGTTCCAAGTGATGTATTACTCTTACCTTTATGAGCAATAATTACGGCATATTTTAAGTTGTTTCCAATGCAAGTGATCGCGCCGGCGCCTCCATGTCCTGTAAAGCGCGCTTTAGCTCTCCGCATAAACCATTAGATATGCATCTAATAGTGCACATTTATATAGGTAAAACATTTAAACAAACATTGCAATATGCTTGAACTGTTTTATATCTATAGATTTTATTTTAGGCAAGTCGTGATTATTTGAGAAGGCTAAATTGATCAAACATAGGCTATGATCAACTCACTGTCTGCCGCTGGATGCTTGGTCGTTACTTTAAAAAAAACTAAAACTTACATTTAACGAACAAAAAAAATGCTCCAAACGTTTTTCTAAATTAACTTAAAACGAAACGAAATATAATGACTTTGACATTACATACAAAACTGAACTATTTTAATAGCTGAAACAGTAGTATAAGCTGTTTTGGGAGAAGGGGGGGGGG